TCATCGCAATCGTCTGCTGCTTCAGTTCCAATCAGATCGATGTTTCCCCAGTTCGATCCAAAACTGCCTTTCAACCAGCAGGTGTATCATCCACAGCTTCCAGATATCCCACGGCCCGTCAAGTCTTCTCGGAGACCTCCAAAGCTTACGCTGTCAACAAATACTGAGATTGACAATGTTCTCGGGCCAAAGACTGTGCCCGCTAGTGTGCTGAACTTCCCAACTGGGGCTTTGGAGTCTGAGGAGGTTACCTACTCATCCATGGAGGAACTAAAGATGCTATGGGAAACGGCCAATGGCCAGAGAACGCGAGATCTTGTTGGGACATTGAACCTACGCATGACAAAGTAAGACTCAGTGTCTCCGACGTATGTATAAATACTAACATCTCACAGAACGGGACCTGCTACATTTGTCCTTGGAAACTCCCAGCACCCGTTCTACACACTACAAACATATTCAACCAACGAACTCGCCCTAAGCAGATGCGATCCTTCCAGACAAAACCACGACATACCGATCATGATGATGAGCCTCGAAGCCCGCATACGCCGCGAGCATCCAAACGACGGACTCGTGACCCTACTCTTCTCTAGACTAGCAGCAATGTTAGCTATAGACCAAGCCGACGAGATCAGCAAGCAACACCACCTAACTCCCGCCGAAACGACGGAAGTAGAAACCGATGCACTCAAACGAGCCGCAGCACAAGAGTCCTGCCGGCTTTCCTGGAACCGACATCGACGACTGTACGAGCTACGACACCCCTATCTCTCAAGACACAACCCGCCCGCTCTTGTCGGCGCCGCTGGGATCCCACTCTCACCCGTGCGATCCCAGTCTTCAGGAATGGTGCACATCACAGTATCCACACCGTCAAGTGACGCCTCTCCTCGCCAACCGCCAACAATCATCGTAACGGGCCCCGTCTCTTCAACGGCAGTGGAAGCCTCTCAGCAAGCTGCTAATGCACGTACTTCCGTCCTCCCCGTCACGGACCTCGACGAGCCGCTCGCATCCTTGGATTTCGCTACGAGAAAATTGTCGATATCTCCGGCAGCTGTGATCGCTACTATTCCCTCTCTATACGCCATCGACTCTCTCATCGCTGCTATGTTGGCAGTCGCTGTCTCAGACGAAGCCACGAACCCTATTCTTGCAGACATGGTTCTCGGATCGCCGAATTCGTCTAGACCACCGACCTCCCACAACCTCGGGCCATATTCAATGCCCGTTGTCCAGGGTAAACTGATTACCACGGTTGCTGAACGTGAAGATGCAGCAGAGAGCATACACTTGGCATCACAGATTAAATCTGCGCAGAAAAGATCCAAGGAGGCCTCGGGAAAGAAAAGTATCTTCAAACTCTGGAATATGTTCCCTTCCAAGGCGCGGGAAAATACTCGGAGATCGAAGAAGAATAAGAACAAGCAGGTTGTGGTTGAGGAGTTTGATTTGGAGAAATATGGTCGATACGGGAATAGTTCATCACGAGAGGGGAAGAAGTTGCCTGGAATTACTCGCACTGTCTTGCGTATGCTGTTCTTTGGCTTGGATATGATTGTGAAGGGATTGACGCTCGTTGTGAAGATCCTGGCTTGGTTATTGGTCAATTCGACGCGGTGTGTGACCAGTGAGAAGTTCTGAGCTGGGCTTGAACCTTCATATTCTCTATGTCTAATGGCGAATTTTGGATTCTTTCTTATTGAATGGTCGGAGGCGATTTTATTATTTGGATTAGGTCTTTCCATATGTAGCTATACTGTTATACCCAATTTGATAGTTCTTCGCAATAATACTTGAGTGATACGTATGTAATATTTCTCTGGACACCATTTTTTTGTCTTTCATAGGTGGGTGCAGTGGCCATAATTCATGCCTTGCTAGATGTAAATAATTAAAGGCGTCTACAGCAGTTTCTTAGAACCCATCACGATAATACGGACCTGGTTCTTTGGATGGAGATTTTGTTTTGCAATTCTCTATTTAGCTTTTGCTTTGTTGTTATATTTGCTAGAAGATCAGTGAGAATATAGTGGGCAAACAAAAAGAGCCAAGATGTGAGAAGCCATCACAAAGAGCAAGCAGGTAGACCTTCCACCAATACTTATATATCTCATTCTCCCACCCACTTCATCTTTCCCTTTTCCTTCATAATTATGGAATATGTGATATAAGTACGACTGCTTCCCGTCTAAGGTTAACATTATTCCCTTTATATTTTTACACACGCAACAGGCCCCCAATCTCGGAGACTCCTAACAGTTTGCCTATCTCTATACCCATAAGGTCGTGGCGAAAATCGCTCAAATTCAAGGACCTGCAGCGTTCCATTATAATGCTATGTGCGGACCATGGTGGTACCTACACTGAAAAACGTCCCCACGATAGCGGTAATTTTATATCCCTTGGGTCAACTCTCCCTCGGTATCCGAGCCATATTGTCGTATAATGTATGAACGGGGAATGGATTGTGCCGCCAACCACAATCGACCATGGGATCCGTCGGCAGGCCAGCTTGCTGGCTCGTCGAATTCTGCGCTGTTCGAATGAATGATTCGGACTGGTCATCCCCACACGCAGCTTCAAATACAATACCGCATAGCTCCGGACATTTGCAAGCATGTGAGCGAAAGCTCTTACGATTCGCAAGTGACAACTCGTCGATCGTGCTTCAATAGGCCGAAGGCAAAGCAATTTTCTGATAAGATGTCCTGCTGCTACGGCTGCAAGCCTGGAACCTCATATTTTGTGTCTGTCGAAAAATCATCACTATGGCGCCACAAAGGCTCCACCACATCTGTCCTCAATCCGGAATACGTCAATTTCATTTGCAACTTGGCCGCCCAGGTGAATCGGAGTGGAATCGCACAGACCGACATTTTGATACTTTCCTTTTACGATGAAGAAGGCCGAGCCCAGGTCGCCCGTCTAGCAGCCTGAAACCTGCTACGGAATCTCTTTCACCCCTCTGAGTAGGGTGCAACAATACCATCGGCAGCGCGAGACACAAGGTCGATTCTGTGGGCATGGCCCAATTTTGAGCGGGATGCCATGACCGCTATAATATCAAACATAACTTGGAGCCGTCAAATCCTAGTTGTCACTATGAGTGGCCAGGGTTCGGGCAACTCGGTCTCCCAGGAAAAATTCATACTAGGAGAGGAGTCCGTCCAACCTCACTTTATTCAACTCATCTGTAGCTCTAGATTAACATCGCTGGCTTGGCCCTTTCTACCATCCAACTTATTCTCGGCTCGCTGATTCGAGAATTCCTATTCTAAACCGGTTTACTCAAATATATCGTCTACGCAATCCTTGTGCTCAACATTCCCACGTGTCTCTCGTTTACGCTCACTTCCTTGGGCGTTTCCGCCTTTCGAAAGTCTCAATCATTTCAACTTTGGACTCTCATCACGCTGCCCTAAGACGCAATGAATGTACTTCGGGCTTTATTCGAGAAAGCGGCTTCCGAGCAGTGGCGCCCTCAGATGGAGATAATGGCGAAAATCATCAAGAGGATAGAATCCGGGTGGGGGCAATGTCCCAGCTTCCGATCTTGCGAACATCGACCTAAAACCCGGGCTTTTCTTTTCTCCCAGGAGGTGCTGCATATCGGCCTCGCTGATATGGAAGGGGCGGAAGTACCTGATCGTCTCTATATATAGTGAGGGAATCATTGCGCCTTCCTGTTGAAAGGACCAAATGCCTACAAGATCCTATTTGAAAGGCGTACCAAGCTACGGAATACAACTTCGAAGAGAAAAGAACAACAATACTCTCATTGTTTACATAAATAAATAACGATCCCTCACTCACCAACTACGAGGATTGGAAGTCGACAGAAGCCTACATTTTCTACTATGCAGGTGCGCCAATTTTATGGTGCTCACATTGCTCTTGATTGTGGCGTTCGTGAAGCTTTATACTTTTAAAACGCTTGCTTTTGCTACATTGAATGATCATGATTTCTTCCTTCTCTCTCCCCACTGTTAGCAGTAGCCTCAACAATACTGCTTCACCGCCATGTCATTGCGAGGGGATTGAGAATGGTGCATCTTGTTACAGTTGCTTGAGGGAGGCAACTGTGAAGAAGCTCGCACGTCGAGAGAAGGACGGAGAAGAGTTGGTTCTGTGCTAGGACGTGTCTTTAAGGATGACCTACATTCTGTGGATTTGAAATACACCGGGAGTCGAATTTTGATACGAATGTTACAGGCAAGTAGGATATAGAAGGTTCATTATTCCCCTTGAGTGCCTATTGGTTATTTCAAGTTGAACGTGTTGGTTGTATGTTGCATCTGTACACAACTAGGCACAATGCGCATTTAAAACGAAGTAGCATCCGTATACTAATAAAAAGGAATAGATAAGCTCGCCAGGCCATTGAATGCTTCGAAGTGGCTGTACTTTCGACTTCTTAGATATCACATGCAATAATCGTCATAGCCCTAACTCTATGATTTGACAGCCTCAATTGAACGGTAAATTTCATTCTATTAATACAAAGAAGATAGATGAAACTGAAAAATGAGACACTCCCTTGATCTTTCAGTCCAACATTCCTCGGAGTATAAGGGACCTAGGAGTAAACAAGGAACGCCACAGGGACGTGGCATCTGGCACATTCTTCCATCATTCCAGTACAATGAACAGATGGTCAAGCGTATGTGATGCTCGTAGGAGTCCAATCAAAATGCCACATGAAGCTTATCTTATAAGACGAGCACGGTAACTATATCGGAAGCTATCAGCCGTCAGATTCCTGGACGTCATAAACTCCATTTACCCCTCAGCATTAAGGGATGAAGGGATGTGATGTAAATGCAAATGTTTACTCTGACAGGAGAATCTAAGTGTACATAAAACGCTAAGTACTTCTCGACCTGGCCGCTGGTCTCTCCATAGTTTCGATCGATTATATACTCGACTTCTCTCTAGTATCAATCCTTCGCAGCTCTCAAACACCTCTTCTCCAAGAACCACCCAATAAATCGAAAATGCGTTACTTCATCACCGCCTCAATCCTCGCCGCAGGCGCCCTAACCCAATCAACAGAAGACTACCTGAAGTGCGCCGTAAGAGCCCCAACCGAGCTAATCTACCCACTAGACCAACCCTAATAACCCCCAGAGCGCCGCCCTCAGCGACATCGACACATCATCCTTCACCTCCTGCACAGACAAAACCTCCCAAGACTGCTTCTGCGCCAACAAATCCGCAATTGAAACCCTCACCTCATCCGACCCCGCCTGCGCCGGCCTCGACCTAAGCACCCTAACCTCCACTCTCTGCGACAGCTCAAAGGAAACCACACCGGCCAGGCACGCAAGCAGACCTATGCAACCGGCCAACAAGCGCGCCTTCGCACCCGAAGCCGCTGCTCCACGCGTCGTCTACGTGACCAAGACCCGCACTGACTGCAGCTGCAAGAGCACGTCTGTCGCCGAGAGACCCATGCATGTCTCCCAGATCCCTGTCGATATCCCGGCTTCCAGTAGTATGGCTTCTATGGTGGCGGTGTCGACGCCCGCTGGTCGTGAGCATGGATTGATGGGTGGTGCGGCTTCGTCGTCTGCGCTGTTTGGCCCGCAGGCTTCTGGCGCCACGCCTTCGGCTGTGCCTTCTGGTGTTGATCCGACTCGCTTCTCGCCTTTCCAGGGGGCAGCGGCTGCGGGTGTTTCGGTTCATGGGGGTGTTGCCATGCTCGGGGTTGCGGCTGTTATGGCTGTTATGGTTGCTTTGTAAGTCTTTTGACTGGATATCTGTTCCAAGGGTTGGAAGGGTGATTGTAGTTTTAGTTTGGCATTGCTATATTGGAGTCATTATTGGAGATGGATATTTCAGATAGTTTTGAACTTGAGTGATAATGATACATGAAACAAAGTTGCAATTTTATTGATCGTGCAGTATCTTCAATTAATTAACGTGCACCAATTTGTGCTGTTCATTCATAAACATAGCGAGAGAAAAAAGCGGGTATAGATTCCGCCTATGGACATAAAGATTGAACCGTCTTAGTCGAACTTCAAGACGCTTTCCTTGCGTATCTGCGAAGCTCAAGCGTGGACTGCCTGCTGAACCTTAGGGTAAAGCTGCACCAACTTGTAGTAGATATCCGGGTGGTCATTAATCATGACCTGAGGATCCCAGGCCATAGCCACAAAGATAGTCTCAATACCACTGCCAATGGGAGTCATGAAGACCTGGCAGATCTGCAAGCCAATCAAGAAAGCGAAAGCCATGATGACAGCGGTGAAGTTACCATCCCTGTTGTACGCAGGGTTGGTGAACTGCAAGTAGAGATAGGACAACAGCGCACAGACATAGGCGACAAAAGTCGATCCCATCGTCAACACCGGACCCATCAGGCAGTCTTGCACGAGAGCATCAATTCCTCGGTCGCGCATCATAGACCAGGTATCCTTGGCAGCAGGAATATAAGCCTTTCCGTACAAGGCGATGTGACAGAACGCATAGCGGTTGAAAAAGGTAACGAGCCAGTCCAGCAGCGAGATGAAACATCCCAAAATCCACATAAGAATACTGCCGACCAAGTTACCCTCCGCAGCCTCATGTCGCTGTGCGACCGAGCACGCCTGCCGCAACATGTTGATGAACGCGATGATCAGACTGCCGAAACTGATACTGCCAAAGGAGTATGTAGTCGCGCGACGGAAGGCGCCCCGGGTCGAGCGCTTGGGCATGCCGCCGGCGGACTTGCTGAAGAAATACCACGAACCGTAGACACCCGCAACAGTGGTGTGTACCGTGTTCTTGATCCACTCACTGAGCCAATACATGGCGAAGGTCGCGTAGACGACAAGGCCAATGACTTTCCCTCTGCTGCAGCCGCCGTTTGCGCAGGACGGGTTGGTGCCAGCGGAATCTGGCTCGTAGGCTACGTAGATTGAAACCATAGTGACGGAGAACCAGGCAGCAAAAGCGACTGTGACGATTCCGCCTACCGCGCTGACTAGGAAGATGTGTCCGTAGCCGCGGGCTACGTCCATGCCGGTCTGTAGCATAAAGGCAGTGAAGGGGATACGCGGGATCCAGCTGATGAAGCAGATGATCGCGAAGACGCCGAAGAGTAGGAACACGATCCCACCTCCGTATTGCTTGCGCGCGATGTAGTAGATTCCCGTTGCGAGGGCGAAAACGATGTTGAGAATGCCGGTCGCCCAGATGAAAGTCTTGGTGAAGTGTCTTGCGCCCATGAAATAGAGGAAAGATAAAACCAGGGCGACGACGAGGACGAAGACAAATAGGACGAGGGTGTTGGTGTCCAGGGAGAAATCATTGGCCGAGTCGTAGATCCCTCCTCCATTGAAGCCTTTGTCGGTGGCATACTTGTGGATGGTAAGTCCTGACACAGCGACATACCCGAGGAAGACAGCAATCAACTGTGTAACAAGTCAGCTTTGAAGGAAATGGTAGGTGGGACATCGCCAAACTCACCAAGAGACCAGCCCACAGATCATTCCACTTGGGCTTCTCGATCTTGAACGCCTGGTCAAAGCTATGTCCGGACTCTGGGACATTTTGATAGTACTGCGACGCTGGTTTGGGCTCAGATGGAGGTTGCTGATAGGTTGGCTGCTGGTAATTCGGCTGCGGGTATGGCGCAGGCTGGTAATTTGGCTGTTGATAGCTCCCATTTTGTTGGTCATAACCATAGTTGGGCTGGGGCTGAGGCTGGCCCTGAGGGAAGCCCTCGTTATAATAGCTGGCAGCCTGTCCACTCATATCTGTGAAGCTGAGAGAAGGGAAGGCCAAAAGGAAAAAGACAAAAAGGGGTTTTAGACTGGTGACGACATGAGCCGATGGAAAACAGCCGAGTGGGAACCTTTCGATCGGCAAACCAAAGAGCCGTCAGCCCTAGGGATCGCCGATCGAATACGCTAAAAACTTCACTAAAAAGACTAGTAAAATTCAAAGAGTTCTTCTCAAAGTTTTGTCCGCATCTTTTTTGTACTCTTTTAGTATGTTGAGAATTTCCAAGCTCCTCTTTAGTATAGTAACGAAGTTCAGATTTCATTCCGACTCTAAGAAAGAGTATATACCTTGGTACCTACAATGTATGTGTCCATGGAAGTAAAATCCGAATAACTTCCGAGGTTGGACCTCGAAAATTAACGCTATAAGAACTGGGTAAGCGTACCATGTTTTTACGTCCCGCTTATATCCTCTTCTTGATCCCTTATATCTCTTTGTTATGTCGAACACTACTCTCAAGTTATCTGAATCGACGACTTCTCTATCAGGATTATAAAGTAAAATACTGGGCTTGACGAATCACAGTTTGCCCAGCTTTCCTATACAGCCATATAGGGATACTGCCGAAACTGCCCAGGAGGGATAGCTTAAAATTTGAGAATTGCCAAGTCTGTTGCCTGCTTGGCACAGAACTTGGATGTGTTTGGAATTTCTATGTACAAATGCAAGAAAATAAATGCCGTAAATGCTCGATTCCCCCATTTCGCCCTTCGAAGCCAAGACGCCTATAATGCAGGCAAACAACTGCCCTCGCTAAACCACGTCAACTTCACAATTACGATTAGACATTAAGGAGATAGCCCGGAAGGCCCCTGTCTGACAAAGACGCCCAGACGCCGGGATGATCATTCGCTTATCGAAATGCATGCTGTTTCAAGTGACGCCAGGAACCGACAACCCGGTGCTCGAGGCCCGGGACTGGTGTGCGGCTTCGGCCGGTGAAATCATCCGTCCCAGAATGGAGCTGACCTTTACCGAAGGCTACTGATCGTCGCAGCTTCTCTTCGCGGACAGCCGTCCGGCGTTGAGCTCGGAGTTCTTCGATACGACCTTGTCCGACGCGGTGCCGACGGACGAAACATTCATCCATCAACGTGTTGGCATCCAGCAGTTTTTTAGGGATGGTCTGGACGATCTGGAATGCTTCCATGGGGTCTGTCACGCCGAGGATGTCCTTTTCACATGCTTTGAAGATTGCCAAGGACACCCGGAAGAAAGTCTTAGAGCCCTCATAGAAGAAAACATCCCAAACTCGAAGGGTAGTTTCTAGAGGTAGACTTCCGATGAAGACCGACATAAGCCAGTTGGTCAGTCCCAAGGTTATGTCCGGCAGCCGAGAGTTCACTGTCAAGGGAGGCATTTTGCCCCGTCCGGACGGGGTTCCTCCCATGGAAGCGATCTTGGAATAGATACCCGGCATGGAGTCCCTGAGCAGGACCATGAGAATCCAGAGGTCAATGTTGGCACCTTCCAGACTGATTTCATGGGTCCCAGGCAAGTAGTCCGCGGCGATGATATGCAGCATCCAGAATGCTTTTTCCTCGGGGAGGAAAAGAAGGAGCATTCCCGTGATGAAATTCAGAGACTGAGTATATCCGATTTTCGGGTTATGCAGCGCATAAGCATACAGAACCCGACGTAGGGACTGAATCATCTGCGTCTCCGTTGTGACATTACAATAATTCGGATTGCTGCTACCGGAGTGTTCTGATTGCTGGGTGACATCCGGTTTGAAATGGAGGTTGTCAGGGAATGTGCGGTGGAGATCACGCTCGATGTGCTCCTTGTCGTCGTTGCTTGGTGAGCTCATGGCCTTCGCAACAAGTTCATCATACTGGCCAATGTTCCGGTTCAAAAGCTCGTACCCGCCGGCATAATAGAACCAAGCCGCACCTCTGAATTCTGGAGGAATTCCTTTGCGAACAAATCGTTTGACCTTCGAAGACTGCGGCGGGAATGTCGTGGGCTTTGATGTGGGTAGCCCGTGTTCCTTGAGCAATTCACACCATTTGGCTCTCCGTTGTGTCACATGGTTGGAGTAGGATCCTTTCCAGGTCTCGTATTCATCCAGGCTTACATATTGAGTAGCTTTGCGAAATCCATAATCGTCTCGAGGTCCGTTTCCAGAGCGGAGTTCTGGCGGCACTAATCCTGGAATAAACACTTTTTTCGAGGGCTGTCGTTGGTGTGCAGGATTCACCTCAGACACCTCAGCTACCGGTGATGCGGAGGCGGTGAGATCGCGCGGAGATTCTGGCATAGCAGGGTCTGATGGGTCGGGTTCCAGTGGGTATTCTGGCAGAGCGGGTTCCAACGGTATTGACTCTGGTGGGGATTCTGGGAGTATGGGTGGGATAGGTGTGGGTTCGGAATAAGTCAAGTTTGGCAAAAACAATGAATCTAGCCTTTTGTCTTGCGACATGGTAAATTCTGGCATCTGGGGTATCGGGGGAACGTCGCCCAGCGACGGAAATTCTAGTGGCGGTACTTCATGTAGGTGTGAATCGCGTGATGGTGGGGGTGTCACTGATGGTGCTTTACTCCCTGCGTAGGATTTCGGCGAGCCAGGCTCTTCAGTCACGTCGCTGAAGCCATCAAGATACATGGAAATCGCGTCTTCGACACTCATCCCATTGTCCATCCCATAAGGCGCGTCGGGGGTATCCGGTGAATGATCGGTGATTGAGCTGCTCTTGGTTAGGACGCTGCTGCGCTCTGTTCCGCTCGGTTGTTCAATGCTTGAGCGCCATGTTTCGGACGAATTGACGCTGGGTCGGGGAGGATTTTCATCGGCGGGTCCGTTTGTTGGGAACCGTGACATGGACAGTCCCTGGGGGCTCAGATCCTGTGGGCGGCGCTCAATAGATTCCTGGGTCCTTGGCCGCCTATTATTCAATCTAGATGTTGACATGGATATCCGGAGCCCCCCTCGCGCAGGAACAGCTTTCCGATGCGGCCGTTCTAAGTCGTCTCTCCCGGGCCAGTTCGGGGGATGGGTTTCAGGTGGTGTGGCGTATAGCCGAGGGCGACCGGTAGGTCTAGGGGTTTTCCATTCGCCCCTCGTACCCTGAGAGGGGCCATGGTGAGGCGGAGTGGGTGGCCACGGATATTCATGAGGATTGTGATGCCGTGGCAAAGGCGAACGCGATCGCTGGCGAGGTGCAGAGCGGGGAGAGTGAGGTGAGGATCTGGGTGCGGAGTTTGCGGCTCGCGCGCGTGGATCGACTAAAGACTCCAATCGGGGTGGGTAAGGAACTCTGTGCCGGCCAGGAAGGTCGAAATCAGCCGAGGGAGGCAGATATCGAGGATTCACGTTTTCTGTGACCATGGCCACGATGTCGCACCGAGTCCCCGTTGGACATTTGTTATCGCTGGAGAGCTATCGATTGATAACCATAGAATATTCGGTCCGGAAAAAGGGAGCTCAACAAAAGGGAGTGCGAAAGGGTTAGGGAATGAACGCCGAATTTGGAGAAACGAAAGACAATAGGTAAGAGGCCAAATTGGGAGACAGCCTGCCAGAGGACTGTGGAAAAAAAGAAAAGAGAGAAAAGGCGCAGTTGAAACAAAATCAACAAACCTGATCAGGTTTAGTCAGGTGACGTGATATGGACAAAGGGGTTTAACTACGAAGTACAGTTAACTACGTTAGTCTTCGTATTGAGTAGATTAACCGTTGGATATTCTACTCTATTTGTATTTCATTATTATCTATAACATTCGCACTGTGGTCTTTGTATAAAAAGTGATAGGTCGGAAATTCATATGTCGATCAGGACTGGACTTTCATAGTCACATATTATATATGCACATCATACGTTTTTCACTAGCTACATACATATACATCTTTATGAATTATTCTTATACTACAGAGACTAGATATAACACCAACATGGAGGAAAACACATATCTGAGAATATGTTTAAAAAGTCCAAAGAGACTAAAAAGACACAAGACCGCATATTGAGTAAGCGACTACATGTATTCAAAGTCCTTGTTCTATTTTACTACCTACATAACCCCTGGATTCTAGACCAATTGAATATGGCCAAATTAATATTTGAGCTTCCCTCTTCCTACAACTCCCAATGCGATCCAGGAGGTCTGCACATGGCCGTGAAACGTAGCCCACTCGAACCCTTCCGTTTTCGGATAGCCGATGTCAACTGTCAACTTATTTCAATTCGAGCTCACATTGACGTTTTCGTATTCATTTCGAGAGTTTATTTCTCGAAATATGCCAAATATGCCCCCGGAATAAGGCATGATTTACCAACGGGATTTATGTATATGTGCCAGGGGAGCTGCAGCAGCTGCATTATACTATTGACCAGTACCACCAGCGATGAACCCAATATGGCCGTTGTCGACCCGGCGACCAAGCAATCTGCATCTTACATCCGTCCCAGTAGCTGGGCAGATGTAAGTATTATTTCTAATCCTCCACATACTGTGAAACAGTCACTCACTAGCGTGATCTTTTAGGGTCTCCGAGGAATTGCCGCGCTTTTCGTGGTCGCTAGCCATACCTGTCTCTCGTTTGCGACATATCTGATCCCGCCGTCTTTCTCGGAAACAGGAAAGTCTATTTTGTTTCAACGACCATTCTTTAGACTGGTCATACAGGGCCAGGCTTGGGTAGCCATCTTCCTGGTGCTACTCGGGTTCGTGAATGCCCTAAAACCGCTCCAACTAGCCCGACGAGGAGCTACAGCCGATGCTCTCGCTACCCTCTCTACAGGCGCCTTCCGGCGCAAGTGGAGACTGGTCTTCCCCGCTGCTCTGATGACAATTTTAACTTGGCTTCTATGTCAGTTCGGTGTCTTTCAATTGGGTAGAAGGGTAGATGCATACTGACTGAGAGCGACAAGCCCCAAACAAAGCCCGTCTTTGGGCGCTGCCGTCGTGGATCTGATACGGCAGATAGTGGGAACTTGGCTGTACGGAGAAAATGCCTACGACCAACCTCAATGGGCACTACTACCCCTTTTCCGTGGATCACTATATGTATTCATGACCCTGCTGGCTTTGGTGCATACCACGCCACTTTTCCGCCTCTGTGCCCAAGTGGTCCTATACACCTATTCCTGGGTAACACTGGATGGTATGTTTGGGATAATATCGCAATACTAAATACAACCCTGATAATCTCTCACAGGTACTGTTGGAACCAATATTTTCGCTGGCATGATACTAGCGGAACTATCATTCTACAACCTGACGGCCCTCCGGCCACGTCTGATCTTCAAAGTCCTACCCTACGGCCTCGTCATACTAGGCCTCTACATCTGCTCGTACCCCGATCAATACGCCGACCAAACCGCATGGTCTTCCCAGCTCGCATCACTTGCTGAGATCATCTTCCCAAAAGATGCTAACGTCAGCCGCTACTACGCCAGTCTTGGGGCGCAGATGATATGTCTTGGCGTGATACTTTCTCCCTTCATGAGACGGATGCTGTCCCACCCCTTGCTGCTGTGGTTTGGGTCGATCAGCTTCCCGCTATATCTCGTCCACGGACCGCTAATGCGATCTGTTCTGGTTTATCTTCTGTATTTGCCCATGGCAATTGGCTTTGAGCCGGCTTTAAGAGCAGATGGGACACCTGACCCGGACTCTTATATTCCAACGCCGAGCCCATTCCGACTTGGAGTTATTCTGGTTATATTTTTTGCGTTCTTGCTCTATGTTGTCCAGCAGTGGGCGAAGCATATAGAACCGAAGATGGGTGCACTTACAGCTGCGCTTGATAGATTTTCCCGTTCATGGGGTAAGAATGAGGTGTGGCCTTCAAAACGGAAGGATGAGATGCTGCCTATTGCCTCGGTGCGGGAGTTAAATATATAGACTCTCCATTGGAATTGATGTTTGGGATGCTGGCATTTGGACTTAATAGAGCTATGAGATTACGTATGAATCGGACCTTCTTGCGTTTGAAGTCTCTACGTAAACTTCGAGCAGCGGATTATCGTGTCGCTGCCTTGAGCAGCTTTACATCCGTATGTCTCTGCCCCACATACCCAGCATCGAATACCCCCATTCAGCGCTGCGGTCATTAATCTCATTGTAAAATGTTTAAGTAAGCGTAAAAAGGGTCCAGACATGGTAGTCAATCTTCACCTTATATTTCAAACCAGCGAAGGGATGAGCTTACAGGTCTCCAGCAGACCGATATTGTTACCAACGCAAGTGGTCAAACAAGCCCCGAAAAAGAACATCGCTCGCAGCATCTTCGGCCTACGTGTCTGGAATCCAGACCTGGGGGCTTAGAGTCACTCTCAATCTCGAGTCAACGCTTGGACAAATAAGTCGACATATTACCATCATATCTGACGGGAGTATGGTCTTCGGATCAGCAGTATCAACCCATCCGGTAATAACGGACTATCATGGAGGATATCTTGTTATAATGACAGAAGAAGAATCGGGTGCGATGAACGGGATGATTGTACATTACTGCGTGTATTGTTATACGTACAAACATAGAACAGGCTGGTTGAGCGTCGGGTGTCAACATAAGAAGTTCGGGGAACTTCGGCAGGGAGGTTGGTGGTATATGGATGATGTTCATACATGCAAGAGCGCAAGATGCGTACCGTGCTGATTGACGTTGAATCTTTGATTACTGCTCTTGCCATATCGCATGGGTCGGGGGAAGTATGCCTTTGATTATTGGCACTAGACTGTTCAGTCGGACGGGTTTGGTGAGGAATAAATCCATACCAGACCCAATCGCGTCGCGTTGCATATCAGTTTGCGCAACGCCAGTCAAGGCAGCAATCCTGACACGGAATTTGGTTTCCAGTGTTTTCTCAAACTCGCGAATTCGCCTAGTAGATTCTAGGCCGTCCATGATTGGCATCGAGATATCTGTCAAGAGTATTAGATTGTCAGAGGAAATCCAGGTTATTTTTTCAATACCGACCCATGAAAATCATTCCAATAGCAGAGGAATTGGCCTTGAAAACCTCGAGGGCTTCTTCTCCGTTTCGCGCAATAACATAATTGCAGTTCAACTTCTTCATAAAAGCAATGAGAATTCTGAGATTGATATCGTTGTCATCCACAAGAAGAACGGTCGTTGGAAGGTCTGCTAGGGGGCCATTTTCCTTTTTGATGGGTGTGTCGTGGCTCGTGATGGCGACCTCTTCAGATGGAGAAAGCGGGTCCTCAACATTCCCCCGAGAGCGTCTACACGACTCGAGCATTCCTACCGGGGCCTGGCTGTATGTTTCTGAATATGCTGCCACTTCGATCGTGGATTGTCCGCTGACCTCTCCATTTGACGACGTCTCGTCCATCTCAGGCTCGTTGGTGCTGACATCGGCTGGGAAGCTCCCTGGGCCGTCTGGTATCTTTTCTTCGCCCTGGAGGGAATCAAACCGCAGCTGCTGACGTTTGATACACGCTTCTAATGTTTTTGCCAACTTGCGCGGTCCGCATGGTTGGCTAATAAACTCGAGCACATGTGCATCCCCACGATTTTGAGCCCCGACAGACATCGAGTGCGCATTCCTCGGGGATGGACATATTATGATGGCAGGCGAAGAAAACGGAGCACCTGGAATGGGTGTAATGGCCCTGGTCTCCTGATTCCCTATGTCCAGATACTCGTGAGAAGTTATGTATAAGTCGCAGTGCGCGAATTGTGTTTGCGATGGCCCAACCAAACGGACTTCCATGGAGAACCAGTCTTGACAGAGCTTTTGTAACGATCTGTATAGAGCTATGTCTAACTCAGAAGTTCCGAGACCTAAAATTCCAATAGTCTTCGAGCAGGCAAGCTTTTGCGCCATGGTGATGGGGGAGTGACTGTCCAATTTGTCGAGGTTGTCCAGAGCAGACGCGTGATCAAGGATCACAGTTGCCACAACTTCAGTGCCAACATTCTTATCGGAATCGACCTGGATATCACCGCCAAGCGATAAGAGTATTCGTCGTGTGATGCTCAACCCAAGACCATTGCCGGTTGTCATGCTATCTTCCTGTGAGAAAGCAGTGAATAGTCCATTCTTCAGAAAATCAGAGTCAATCCCAGATCCAGTGTCCTTCACTTTCACGGTGACTGCTGAGCTTGTGACCTCGCCACTTTTTCCGAATTTGGCTGGAGAGGCCTTCATAGAGATGTAGATATAACCACTTTGAGTGAATTTCAAGGCATTCCCAAAGATATTCGTTAGGATGACATGCCAAGCCCCAGCCTGTGTTGAAAATTTCCAACTGTGGGTGCGGTCAATGTCCAAAACCACCTTGATCCCATCTCGTGTATCTGTATGTTTGCTACCCAAGGTAGAAGCACCGGCGATACCCCGTAGAGGAGATCCTGAACTGCCGAAGAAGGAATAGCCAGCAAAGACAGTTTCGACTGCATCTTCCAAGGTAGCATCAAGTTCGACACAAGTGTTGACTTCATTCTCTCCAGGATGCGAAGGACGGCGGGCTGCGGCCACTTTCCGGTCCACAGGAATTTTGTAGATACGGCCACCCGGAGGGTGGGCCACAGCATTCGGTCGAACATCATTGATACCAGCGTACTCGAGGAGTTGATTGATCGAGCCAAGTAGTGTGTATGCGCAAGAAGAAATCGTATGAATAAATCCTCGTTGCAGCGCGTCCATAACAGTGTCATGGAAAAGTTCTGCTGTGCCGAAAATTCCATGTAGAGGGGATCGAAGTTCATGACTGAGCCCTGAGAGCAAGTCTGATTTTGCTCGATCAGCGAAATGAGCGCCGAGCCGGTGCACTTCTGCCATGACACTTGTTCCAAATGTCAAGAGGAATGCTAACTCATCGTTCGAAGTGAAGACACGGTGAGGGGCTTTTGTCCACGCCAAAGCCCCCGAATACCACCTACCCTTGTGTGAATCCCATAAAGGCGAGAAGATGATGCTTCGAGACTCGGGAGCGAGTTGAAGCAGGGTCTGAGCATCCTGCCGCACAAGCGACTTCTGTGTCTTTTTATACTTCTTGCCCCCAGGACGTCGCAAAAATCGTTTGATTACGCCATCACCGGTATCATCCGACGAGACTGTGCCATCTTCACCAAAATTGAAAATCTTCCCTCGAGGATATCGGTGCAAAAGGCCCCCAAGAAATGACTCTGATAATGCGATTTTGTTATCGTCCGTCGGCTGGTCATTGACGCTAGAGGCATTCGAAGTGGCAAATCCGAGTATTTCGCACGGGTTCAACGCAGCTTTGCCCGAGCTTTTAGCCCGTTCCGGGTCAAGAAACCCCTGATCTGCGAAGGAACGCCGGGGGGAGCCTCGGAATGTGACCTCATCACCAGAAGAACAGCTTTCAAAACTACTGCTTTCCGTGTCAGACTTTGCGTCGTTCACCAAAGCTTCCTGGGAGCCGAAATTGGCGTTGAAAAAGACAACTGCTTCAACTTCGATACTCTCGCGGATGAGATTGGCTGCACGTCCAAAAGTTTCATTCACTTTGGCAGTATAATCACCCTTCGGTGATTTCTGCCTTGACTGATCGTTGCCTATGGTCATGGCCTCTTGAGATGCTTCTTTGAGTTTCAATAAGGCCCTGGCATCCCTCTTGCTGGTGCTCGAGTTAGAAAGTGAGCGATATTTCTCCCTATCCCCCTGTAGGGTCTTGGTTCTAGGGATATGAAGATTGTATGGACGAAAAGGGAGGTGGCTTCGTGTGTAATTCTGAGCCACGTCATGCGAAATTTGCTTTTCTTGCTGCTCTCGGTTGACATGCCCCTCTGCATGGTCCATTTCACCAAACGTGGTCTGAGTCACGTCGGTGTCAACCACCCATGAGTTACGCAGACTACCTTTTCCCTCCAGAAAACTTCCAAGGCCAACCATCATGCGCTCACTGCGGAAATGCTGGACTTTTGAGTGACTAGTCGCCAGATAATTCATGACAGTAGCTGCAATATCAACCAGGAACTGGAGTGACCTGTCGTCCAGGGGCTCGCGGGGTTTGTCGTCCAAGATCGTATACGACCCAATCACCACGCCTTTCGGGCAGATGATAGGACTCGATGCGAGAAACCGAATGTCTGGGAATGTAGCGACATCTGGATGGTCCTTGAATGCATTGTCTTTAGCAAGATCGGGCACAACAAAGACGCCTTCTCTGGAGTTTGACGCATTGGCGTAGAATTCATAACCGATTTACACAGGCTGCGGTCATATGACATCGTACAGCTCCCAAACCGGAGCTCATCTCGTGTATTATGGTCACCGTCATTCCGCAGACTTAGAGTTCGAGTAGCTTCCGTGAGAATATGTTCTTCGTGTCGACCGAAGAGCGAGATCAACGAACGCTGCGCATCCAGTCGCAAGGTGCCTAGTTGGGCGAATGCCGTCAGGACGGGGTCCGCCGAGGATCGAGCGACATATTCGTTTGATTGTGTAGTGGGGCCAATATGGTGTAAGGCGTGTGGCTTGAAATGGTATGGCGGTAAATACCTAGTGAAGCAGGGCGCACGGTTAGCGACGGGCGACAACTTTGTGTTTATGCAAAGGTGGATAGATTACTTATAGAATTCACGCTCTCTGGATGTACCAAAGTTGACATGGTACTTCTGAGCGTATTGTAATGTGACTGGACGTGACATTGTGTCGGCGGCAAGGTCTGGGATATTGAATGCAAGGGTGCTAAGGACAAGATCCGCTTTCTCCTCTCCTTCTCTCCTTGGAAGAGGGCGGAGGATAATCGGGAAGACTACACCGGGCCTTCAAATTTTAGAAAAGGAGTAAGTGAAGCTGAGCGGAGCGGGCAAACAAAAGTTGCAGCCCGCAAGCTTCGAATCTTGGGAAGGTTGGAACTTCCCAATGGTGTCCCAATGTTGGCCCGGCCTGCCCGCCAACCAAGGTTAGAGCTTGAATAGATTAGATAAGCGGTGCGGTGACATGGAATGGGAAAGTTTCGTAGAAGGTAGCCAATCAAATTTCATGGAGAAGTTTAACCCGACTTACTTATTCATTGTGATTGGTCGAATTGAAAGTAGATGTTAGACTATAATATGGCCCCTCTATGGCCTAAATAAGGACCATGGTTTTTGTTATGGTCTAGTGGTAGGCTATATTCTCCCCCACTAGAGCTCATTATGGATACACATGTGTCCACGGGTGACAGCAGGTCCTGGTCCATAGTGCAGGTTGTAGGTGTCATCCAAGGATAGTACGTAGGTAGGTATATGGCCACAAATATAGCTATCTGCATATGTACCTATAATGATGATATAATAATATTTGTTGACTGGCCCAGTGGAATGGACCTCGGAAGCCCTACACGGCTAGCCATTGTACATGCGTACACTGCATACATAGTTACAATGTGGGGATCGGTGTATATGTCTGTCCAACTAGGTAACCCATTTCTGCGGGGCTCTCTATCTTAGCTGGCGCCCCTTTCATATACTGCTTTATTTGGGCTATGCTCAAATTGACTGGCTAGCTATACCGTCTAATTATGACACCCGTCGTCGGCATCTAGGTCTAGCTGTAACTACACCATGTCTAAAATCTGTACGTTCTGGTTTTAAACGGGAGAGCTGAAATTCAAGTTCTAGATAGGAGACAGCTGTGAATGTCGAGACCAGCCCATCCTAATTGACATCAAACACTGAATATCGAGTCAAAAAAATACCCGCCATTGTCCATCACCCCACCACAGCCCTCATCTTCACACATATCCATCAGAGACAAAATAAACAGCCTAGCAAGACGAAACACGGAAGCTACCCATGGCCTTGCTCAACTGGTGATCATTCCAGTCATCAGATGCAATTCCAATCTGGTTGCTGCAGGAGCTGTCGCTGTAGACACGAAGAACACAATCGGAGCCCCAGGTGGCCTCCCAGTCAATAGTGTCACCGCCCTTGCAGGCGGACTTGGTGCAGCCCTTGTTGTTTTCGCCGTCCCACTGCCCGCTGCAGGTGGTGAAGATCCAGGCGTTGGCCATGGGGAGGACGGCGGCGATGGCAGCGATAGTGGTAGCGGTGAACTTCATTTTGTTGGAATTGAAGGTTTGGTTTGAGTGGTTGGAGGTTTAGATATGGGGTTAAAAAAAGGTAGATGTAGATTGAATGTCTTCTCTTGAGATTGAGATTTGATTGTCTTGGAGAGGATGATCAAGAGTGTAGAAGCGAGGACAAATGGTTGCTTATATAGCCTTCTAGGTGGCATCGAGTCTTCTATTAATAAAGTAAAAGATGTAACTTCATTGATGCCAATGCTCGTATCATGCCGAGTGAAGCCAGAATAGAACCCATCACGAGAGATCAGCATCGTCGATGGGGCCATGATTCCAATCACCCAGATTTAATACGATAACTATTACTACCTAGTTCCGGACGACACAGGCGATCGATACGTAGTCCGTTGTCGTAAGGCGGAGTGCTGGGGTAGCGATGTCGATCATAGTTCTCTTCAGGGTTAGCAAGGAATGGGTCATCTAGAGATTCTCGTATTCTTGTTCTGGGATCAATCTAATATAGTGCGTTCAAAGTGAAATAGATTATTTTAGGACATGCTGTTTAGGGCTAGAAGAATGACAAAGGGATAAACAATCTAGAGCTTCTCGTATTCTTGTCTTAAGTCCCATCTAAAATGGTGCGTTCAATGCAAAAGAGATTGCTTTAGGATGACCTTTTGGCCATGGCACTGGCCGAGTACAGATCTGTTTTAATACAAGGACTCTGTTAATATACTATGTCTAGGAAAATACCAGACGACGTATAATTATCCTGAAGATGTTTATCTTCCTCAAGTATGGCCCTGTTTCTATTTCTGGAGTTAGTGTTTACCCCCCGCACAAATGATCGACAGGTTCAACACCCAATATAGTAATATGCCCGGGCGATCCATCTCGTATATTTTGAGCCAAGACTCGGCTGAGCCCCTACTTTCTCTGGGCATCTCGTGTTCGTGAGGCCAAAGGAATACGAAGTGCAATGTAACTTGAAAAGAACGACTACAATTGAGCTCATTTATGTTACTATGACTTGTTGTTTATATACGAGTCCAAGGAAATGACGGCCTGAGATCCAACCCAGGTTCTCGTTGGACTGGGTCACGGCAGTACAACTGAAGCCATCGGACTCGATGGACTATGGTTACGACACAAGCTGTATACCGGTATAGCTCCGGATGGCGCTTGCACTTTGCATATTTTTATGTTGTAACAGGAGGAAATCAGCGTCCAGCAAGATACTATTGGTGGATGTAGATCAAGCGAACTGAAAAGCTATGGAGGCCAACTCCATTCCCTAAACTGGTATATTTGTTGACCGACTAATGCAGTCCTTGCTCGCTGTGCTGCCAAGGCTACATGTGGAAAGTACAGGGCCCGTGATAGGACTGGGAGTAGCAAGGGGGAGGCAGGTCCCTAGTCCTCCTGACTTTTCTGTATCTTGTAAAGAACAGATATGGGACTAGGGGACTTCTAATATCTGTGAGGGATCGGGATGGATGTTGATATGTGACGTGACGTTGTTTTGATGCTGATGCTAAAGTGATATTTTTTCTTTTCTTCTTTTTTTTTTGCAACCAAGAATTCTAATGTGCTGTGATACTTTTGTTGCCCGCGAGACACTATGACAGTGTAACAAAAATCGATTTATTCTGATAGAAATTGGGCAATGTAGCTTACGTATATAGTCCAGTCTACCTAGCTAGTAGATATCTAGGTAGAATAGAGACCTTCAGGATATAGGGTTGAGCTAAATAGATCAAAACCAACGATGAACAGTGATATTAATCCCTGAGGGGCCTGATACGGTATCGTCATCCTACATCTTGCAATTGATTTTCATATATCAATGGTCAGTTGCGTTTCACATCGACACCGTCCGAACAAGAAGAGGAAAGGGAAAAGAAGAGAGAGCTATCACCAGAGATGTGCTTGGCAGCGACAGAATTCTGACACGGTTACAATGCCGAATTAATATCCCACTTCTCCTTGATGCGCTGGAGCCACTCGGTGACCGAGATGATCTCCTCACCAACCAGGACGTTACCCTCACCAAGTCTCTGGCGCTTGGTGGCATCGTACGGTGGGACATGTAGCATTTCGTGGTCCTTGTTACAGATCCTTTTTTTGAGGGTTCCTTCACGTAGCTTGGTGTAACAGGGCTCATCAAAGTGCGTATAGTCGCACTCCCTGCACATATAGATATTATTTGCGTACGTGATACGAGTCCTGCAGCCTTCACAGTGTTCCCACATGGGCCCGTTGAGCTCTTGCAATGTTGTCTCGGTCTCCGATTCCTCTGGACTGATCTCTCCCTCGTCATATGGAACAATCAACGACCAAGCGGCGAGGCAGTCTGCGTCATGGCCCGCGAACATGAGATGTCTTGCCAAGCCCAGATATCCCTGCCAGTCATTCGACGGATCATCGTCAGAGAGAAGGTCGAGATTGCGTTTGACATGTATGCGCAGGGCATCTTTGGCCTTGTGTTGGTCGCCTTGAAGCGCGTGGTATCGTGCGACAAGTTCTGAGGAGTAGGCTGTAGAGCGCCTGAAGTCGTCGACATATGTGGGCTTGTATGTGGCCAACTGCTCCAACTGGTCCAGATAGGTAGCGGCGTTGCTTGGGTCCCGCATCGCCTCATGGAAAAATACGTTCGCCATTTTTGTACAGACCGAGCCTTTCGCGATTGAGACAAACGTCTCGTGGCGAATTTCGTCAATCTGCAGAACGCGTACCCACTGTTCGATGGCAAATTCCCTCCGTTCAACGTTCTCAGAGCCATTATCGTAGCAAAGAAGCGCAAGATTATGCATCAGAAGCGCTTGGCAGGCCCGATGGAATGCTTCCTCGTCAATGGCGCCCTTATTAGCCGCCTTGATGAGCTGCTCTTTAGCGGCAACGATGGCTTCCTGATAGCTTTCAAAGATAGCATCAAAGGTCTTGCTGTCGGACACCAGACCGAGGATTGCCTCGTGATACTCGTCCTTGTCGTAGTGCTCGTGGAACGTCTGCGTCCGCCTGTCTAGACCGGTTGAATCGTCTATGGAGGCCTTGAGTGAATCAAGGAATTTGAGTAGGCCCTCCGAGTTCTTGGTTTTGTGGAATTGTATCATCATCCCCAACGCCGCGTCATAGTCACTCGGGTCATTCCGTAGCATTTCCTCGTATATCGCAAACGCCTTGTCACTATTACCCAACTTCTCGTTGTACACAGCAATATCGCGGTCCAGCCCTACCAACTCGATATCATCCTCGCGTGTCTCACGACACTTGATTGTATTTTTGGCGGCCTCTAGCGTCTCAATCGCAAGCGCGTACTCCTCCTGGTAGGCATATACGGCCGAAAGACCCCATTGCGAGAGCCAGTTGTACTCCTGGAGAGAGCACGAGAGTTTGAAATGTTCAATGGCCTCAGCGAATTTATCGTACTCTCTGAATGTGCGCGCTAGATTGCGGGTCTCCTCGTATCCTAGGCTATCTAGTCCAAGCTTCTGTCGAGCCCATTCAGCGGCGTCGGAGATTTTGGATGCGTCGATAGTTTCGGGCCTTGAGAGATCGATTGATCTTTTGATTTCGGGATTTTTGCGGTTCTCGATCTGATAAATCAATTAGCTTCAAGTTATTGTTAGGTAGGGTTTGTGGCATTACCAAGGACATACCTTTGTGAGATATCCATGAATTACAGCGAAGCAATAGAAAGGATCGTTTGCACCAGGCTCCGGTTGCAACCAGAGACGGGCGGTAAATTTAGCAATGTGCTCCAGAATATCTGCATCAGGCTCGGACTTGGAACTCAAACTTTTCACCCATATGCTTTGACCATCAGGGAGGTTTTTAGTGACTGCAGAGTCTTGAAGCCACTTCAACGCAACTTCAGCATATTCGTCCCCGTGAATCCAATTATGCCGTAGCCACGCGTCGCTCGGGTTCCACCATTTTTTAATCGTCTCTTCGTCCGTAAAGAGACTGACCAGCTGCGGGCCAAGAGCCGTCTTGTGTTGTGGTTGTGTCAATGAAGGGTCCGCTTGTTCAAGATGGTCGGCGAAATAGTAAGACGCGTACCTGAGCAGCGAGTCTAACTCTGGGCTTCCCGGGTGGTGGATGACTTCTAAGCATGTTGAAAGGATACTCAAGTGAGCAGTGTCGACGTTAACTCCGACTAGGGCCGTCTTCCCTTTGAGCTTCCGCTGGAAGAACTCTTCGAATCCGAATTTGGCGAACAGCTTGGGATCGCAGACAGACTCCAAGAACCGACGGACAATCCTGACTTCGACTTCGCTGATATCGCCAGTAAGGTCTAGGTCCGGGGCGTCTTCAGGGTTATCGAACTCATCCCTGTTTCGTATGAACTCCTCTATTGAGCCAGAGACTATCTCAACGTATGAAGTCTTGGGGATTATCTTAGTTATGGGATGCGGCTCTCCAATGATCAGGAGGAGGGAGGAATATTGGTCAGTTATCTTTTCCGCCAAAGGCCGGAGGGAAGATTCCCCAGCCTTCAGGTAGAGGACTCCCTCCAGGTCTTCCAGAGTTCGTGACCAAGGGCAAGTGCTAAAGATAGCCCATGTGAGGAGAATGTTTAGGTCAGAGATGTCCTCTTCGCTAAGTGTTTCGTTCAGGAGTTCCATCCTTCTCATTATAGTGTCGGATCGCTTTCCTCCTGAGCGGGATAAAATATCCCTGATCTCACCAGGACGCTGCTTCCCGCTAATCTCGTACAGCAGAAGGCCGATATTGACAAAATCCCCATGGGTCTGAGTCTTCAAATTTTCTAAGATGTCGTATCGAAGAGAAAGTACCTGCTCCGACGAGCCGCTCAGAATCTCCATCTTGTTCATGCGGTCAACAATGAACTTCTCTACGTCATCGTTGTTTTCGGATGTCACACCAATTGTTGATATTCCTTCTCCAAGCTGACCTTTTAGCTTGCTCATTGTCTCATTGCGCCCAGTGACAGCAATCCGGAGCTTGAACTGTGACCAGGCTCTAGAGGTAGCCTGTAATCCCTCCAAAACCTGGATGAACTCCTTGAGTTCGCTCTTCTCTATCTGGTCGATGCCATCCAGGAGGAGGAAGATGGTTGAATCGCTCTTGTATGACTTGGAAAAGAGAATGTCCCAAAGATTCCCTATCTGGTTGATACCCGTTGCTTTCACGGTGCTCACATCTTTGCGGTAAACGATATCTTGGTCGGCGACCTGCCACGCGAGGACCTTCAGGGCCTGGACCAAGGATATTTGTTGTTTATCTTTGTCAAAGATGTGGTAGGCAGTGGAAGTGCACCTCATATCATTTTCAGACTGTGGTTGTGCTTCTTGTAGCTGTTTGACGATGGTCGCAAAGAGGAATGATTTGCCATGTCCCTCGTCTCCGGAGATACCAAAGACAGAAAACGGCGAATTTTCGGGGGTTGCCCACACCGTATACAGTGGATCATTCCGAAGCCACTCTCCACTCCCTTGAACTTGGTCACCCAAGAGACGTCGGAGTGTCGTTTGAACGACTTGGAAAGCCTCGCTAGGTTTGTCGAGGCTGGAATCGATATCCTTCAGGAGCTTCTTTGAGGCGGTGTCTGCATCTCTCTTCTTCTCAAAGTTGAGCAGCTTATCCACTGTCACATTGATCTTTCTGGTGCCATCTCTGTTCTCAATAATATTTCTTTCGCTCATCTTCTGCGACTCAAACCCTAGGGTTGCCCGCATCTGAGACTCGCGCTCAACTAGGGTGGCCAGGCGAGCCAGCTGGCCGCTCACGCCTTCGTCGCCGTCGAAGGCAAATACCTTGAGCGCGATGAAGACCTTGTGTCCCTTGAGAACCTTAATCGACAACGCACAAATGTCGACAAAACACAATAGCTCCTCATTGATAATCTTGCGAAGAGCGACGTCAACCGCGTCCGCGGGCAACCGCATATAGATTTTGCAGCGCTCTAGCACGTCGGAGATGCGGCTGAACAGCTCTGCCAGGCTGCTGAAAATGCGTTTGAATCTCGCTCCAGTGTCAACCAGATATGAAATTGCATTGAAGCAGAGACCAGCGGGCGCAAATACCTAAGTCATGACCGTGAGCAACGTTACTTCAGGAGGCGAGAACGGTCGCTCACCATGCTTGCACCCTGGGCAGCGATTCCACCTAGAAGCATGACAAATTTCAATGTCTTTCCAATCGCATCCTTTGCAGCTCTGTACTTGTTATTTTTCTCATCATCGTCATCTTGCTTCCCACGAATTTGATCCAGAACTTCGTCGACAGAGAATTTCGGGGTTGTAGTGAGGTCGACTTTGGTTGTCTGCGCAAAGGACGCGCAAGCCTTGTCCCATGCCTCCTGCAAATTGTACTCGCCCTCATCTTGAATTGCAGCCATTGGATGATATATCGGTTGTAGCTTGGCCAGAGCTAAGCACGAAACATCCCTTGCCCTTTTCAATAGGAAACTAAGGAAATATAAGTTTTTGATGGCATAATGTTAAATATCGCATTGGGGCTGAAGGCTCGACCCCAGCGAAAAGCGGCTGGGATATTGGCGAAGCGGGGTCCGGCCTTTCCAAACCAATGGTGATATTTGGGCGCGTTCATTCAGTCTCACTTAGCAAGCCACGCATGGAGTGGAGCAATTACAAGAAGGCGGCGAGGTAGGGTGGAGCAGCGCACTCAAATGATTCTGACACTTGCCGTATGCCCCTGAAGGGTACAATGACGAGAAGACACCACAGGGTTTATTAGAACCCAAGGATTGCACTTTGATGTGTGCGTACCTGTATGCTGACAGCAAGAGGACATCCCCCTCCATGTCAAAAAGCGGGTGCCCAATAGATTGCTCAGAGCCGTTGAAAGTTCCACTCTCCTATCCCCGCTAACCAAAGTTAGCTGGATGCAGGACCTATACGAGGCATCCACCAACCGTGGAATGATTGACTTCATGAACCCAGCACATACCAGAAATAACTGACTCGCCTATCAAGCACATCAGGGAGTGTAACTTTCTAGGGCAGATTCCGCAGCTGAACTGGTGGTTTTCCAAAGTCGCGTTGCGGGATGGGATGAGTCCGAGCCGCTCAGCTCGTATTGGACCCACTCTTCTGGATAAGATTTGAATTGAGCCCTGCCTGTCAGGCATAAATCTGCCCAAGTGGATCATTTGGGTCGTTTTGGTACCTGCCTACACGTACAAGAGAGGTAGGTAACTATGTTGTATATACGTAGTTACATCCAGGGCTCACTCAGATACATATCCATAGTTAGATTTATTAACGCATTTGTACATTTGACCTAGAACATTATGGCCTGAGCGTCAAGCCTACTTTTGTCACGAGTTGCCAATTGCATATAGATCCTAAAGGGTCTATACGTAAAATTCTAACCCGAATTGAGAAACCTCAAGAACACGCCGCGTTGAGGGGAGGCACATAGCTGGTATGCCACCGACATATGCGCCATTTGCTCTCTTCTCACTGCATTTTTCTATGGATTGACTGAATGGTATACATAGTGTGAATCTGTATAGAACAAAATACATAACATTGATCCCGCATATATAGAAGGTTCACAGAGCGTGAACCATTGATGAGATCCCCAGCGTCCATGGGTCCACGTGGGCCTGCCCGAGCGTTCCCGACCTCGGGAGATCCGACATCAGGATTGGGCACCTCGGCGGGGTGGGGCAAAGTAAAAGCGGGGGACAACTATCTGAGGTCTTCTGGGAAACAACATAACAACCTCATCTGCTTTCAGATATTTGACGAACATTGGCATAATAACGTGATCGACCACCAAATTAGATAAGTTCGGGCTTCGAGGTGACTAGACTTAGTTATTATCTCCCCAGGGCTATGACCAACTTGACACTTGCTAAACTATCCGATATGATAACGATTACCACCACCTATTGCCTATCCTCCCTTGCGCTGAACATTCCTTAGATCTCTTCGTAGCGATGTCATATTAGTTAAGTTAAAAATTTGTCCTAGGAGAGTTTAATATTAGAAGTTTCGATGAAGAAGCGCTTAACAAATCAGTGGAAGCGAAAGTCGGCGAGTTAGTCACACTTAGTGGGGGAGGAGACACTATAACGGAGCTCGAAGGCGTTTACGAGCCCACAGCTTCCGCTCTTTTGGTTAAGAAAACGTAAGAGGCGGTAGAATTCAAATCTATAAGCAATCAGCATAGACTAAGAACCCTCAATTCAAGGCCGATGTGTTTACGGCGACCTTAGCCACGGATCAGACAATAATTCCCTTGCAGTATTTCTTTCCTCTGGTCGCCACTGAAGCATTTTGCGGATTAAGGCGAGAAAGAGTTGCTGCTGTTCGCCATGCAAGTTTCCCTCGAGCGGCTCCAAAGCTTTTAACGGAATCGGAACGGCTCCCTTCCAATTACCTTGATTCCCTCAGTCGATGGCGGGAGGAGTGAGTCCTCTTTCGGGTAACGTACCTTCGGTATCAAAGAAGTTTGTAGCATAACTGCTGCCTTGCAGCATCTCTTGTGGCGGTGATCCAAGAAGCGCAATCATCTCAGCGATATGGTTGTCATCCGAGTTTTGCTTCATTCGATCTCGAGCGTAAAAGAGATGGCCCTTTTGGGAAAGGCCCCAAGCCTGATGTAGTTATATTATTAGCTAGAAACTGTGTTCAAAACAAGCCAAAGATGTCTACTTACTACTACCCCAACGTTCTAAATATCAACCTTCTGATCCCAAGACATGAGTAGCAAGACTTCAGGAGCCCGGTATATATATGGTTGGATATCACTACAGTAATGAGGTCGACCCAAACCGAGCTTGGCCGAATTCACCTAGAATGGGTCGGCCGTGCTGCTTAGTTTTTGTAAGTTTGCGAGAGGATAAATCACCTGATCCCCAACAACCTTCCGGGGATTGGGGCTAGATTTCTCTGCTTCCTCAAAATCAGCCAAGATTGAAATGTCTTCAATGCCGAGCATAATATTCTTTCCTTGTATGTCTATAAGGAACACATTAGGATGGAATAATTAGAAGCGAACAACGTCAACATACCAGTGTGGATGATGGCAGCTTCTGTGTGTAGGTAATCAAGGGCAAGTAGCAAAACACGCAACAAAGTCAATTATTGGAGCGAAGTGCAGGCTGGCTGTAGAAGCGACGTAGAGGCGGTGAGGTGGAGACCCCGGGGCCACTTCGCGCCTGTTTCCAACCGGGGGAACCCCCGACCTACAAAATACTGACATTATGCGACTATGCGAGACCGCCAGACCCCACTCGGGTTCGCTACTTTCGCTGGACAATGACTCTAAGCGAGCTCGCCTACATATCCCCGAGCCGGACCTCTTCGGTTTATTGCCAGTCGATGCATCGGTGTCATCGAGGCAACAATGGATTCAAATAGCTGGGCTGAGTACGGATACTCTGGATAGACATTAGCACTATTATACAAAACAATCCTCACACTTTTTCAGCGTCCTCGTCTTCGGCGCCACTGGCGAAGTCGGCTCCGCTGCTGCCCTCGAGGCCCACGTCCGCCGCGCGCCCGCGTGACCCTAGCCATGCGAGACGTCACCAAGCCCAATGAGTGGATCTCTTCCGAGCAGGAGCGTGCTGCCGACCTAGAGCGAATCACCGCTGACCTGACCAACCCTGAGACCGTGACACACGCCGCGCACCAGACTGGAGCCCAGGCGGCCTTTATATACGCGGTACACTCCAGCGACATGATGCGCGGCGCCATCACCGCCCTCCGGGATGCTGGCATTCAGCACGTCGTGTTCCTGTCAACCTTGCAAGTCAAGGCCGTGGGCGCCATCAAGGCGACATTCGCTCCATCAAGCCCGACCACTTTATCCCCTGGCAGCATGCGCAGGTTGAGATAGGGCTGGAGGAGATCGGTATGCCACACACAGCGCTACGAGCGGGCTTTTCGCCAGCAATTCACTACGGATGTATCTCGATAGGTGCGTGGAGCCGAAACAGGTTAAGCTGCTGGCGCCAGAGGTGCTCCATGATCCTATCGACCCGACGGATATTGGCAGGGTGGCTGGTGCCATACTCGTCAACCCACGACAGTACGCTAGCGGCTACCAAGCTACGATGACTTCCGGCAAGGATGTCATCTATCTCACCGGGCCGGCGCTGCTGTCCCAGACTGAGCAGTGGGAGATCATCAACCGGGAGCTCGCTGCGGCCGGGAAGTCCCCGGTCAAGGTCAATCACATCACCGTCGAGCAGTACCTCAAAAGCCTGGCTGCGCTGCATCTCCCGGACGCGATGGCCAATTCCCTGGCCAAGTCCGTGGTAGATACAGGGGCGCTCTACGCAGAAGACCTTGGGAAGCAGAGGGCCAACGTCGGGCTGCTGACCGGCCGGAAGGCGACGAGCTTTGAGGACTTTGTAAAGAGGGAGATTTCAACATACTTTCAGTAGTGAGATCGAAACAGAATCTTGATTCAATTTGATTTCTTTTCCTTTTCTCTTGAGCGCGTCAACTTAAGTTTTGTCGATTCGGTGGAATACCTTGACCTCTCGCCGCCTTGCAAACTACTAGCACTATATTGGTTACCAAGAGACGTCATGAACCACGTACAGCCTTGGCTACAACACGTCAAGACAACCTCGAATGGAGCTCAAGATCAACGCCCGGAAATAATGACGCGATCTCACCATCACCATTTGCCCAGCATCGGTCTGGAAGGAAGTCTATGAAGTGGCTCAGCGTTTCGGCGCCAAGTATTCCCAGGGAAACATCCGAAGCCTCGTTGCTATACGGACCCGAGGAAAACGCAGACAGCGAGGGCTCTGGGGTTGGCATCGTACACATCGTCCGCTGTGACGGTGTGTACCAGGCATTGATGTTGATCAACTCGGGATAATGGGAGAGAACTTCCGCGGCGGGCGGACACGGTATAGGGTCATAACGCTGAGTCTCCTTTCCAGCCTGTACCGGCCATTCCTGATCTGTGCGTTGCATTTCCCTCACATAGCGGGCCTTGGCCATAAGCCGCCGGATAGGTCGCCAGAGGGCGAGGCGGCTCTCGTCTTCTTGATCTCCACTGATTTTCCATGCGTCGTAAACAGTCGTCACGCAGTTCCACGCGCGATCGCACTCGGGAGAGTGGGACCGGGCGCATAATTCGGAAAGTACAAATGCCATTGCGCCCCACTGGATGTATGTCGTTGAGTTCCAGCTCCATTTCATAACGTCTTTGTTTGTTAGAAGCATGCCCGATACTTCTAATATCTCGATGGAATTTCGGAAGAGCTCATCGCGCATGTTGTTCTCTAACTGGCCGGTGCTGTCAGGGGCTTTTGGGAATAAGCTGCTCTTGTTTTTCTTGACGTCTGCTTGACTCTCGCTTGACGCAATGGAGTATTGTGTCGTGAGCCAGAAGCGTGCCAGGATGATCCGGGCTACCGCTGAAGACAGGAGTTGGAATGGCACGGAGGAATCGCAGATGGGCAGATATTTGCTGCGGAAGCTCGCTTCTAGGTTCTGGATCAAGACTCGGCATTTCTTGGCAGGTTCTTCGGAGCCATCTGCTATTGGAGCATTGCTGCTATCTGGCTGCCTGGGCCGGTTCTGGTTTATAAGACCTAGCTTCCAACCTGTCTGTATAGCCTCACATCGGACCAGGGAAAGCGTCATATCTGTCGCGTGGCCCCATCGCTCAGCTGGGGGCTCTACCATGTCAGGCGACAAGTCAACGTCGTTGACGTGCAGGGGTGGCTTGGTGTCCGACGCAAAGTGCTGCACGATAGGTTCGTTGCAGTGGTACTCGGACGAGCGGCTATCTATGATGCAGATCTGCCACCATAGGCGTCGACGTAGCTCTGTCTCGAACGGTTTGAGCCGGAACACCGTCCCGTCACGGTGCAGGCCCATGGTTCGTGCAATGTGGTATATGAGCGATGTCAGCCACCAAGCGGCACGCGAGTCGTCCTCATTAGGTAATGCCGATAAGAAGAGCACTGCCGCCTGTAGCATCGTCATTCTCTGGGTGTTGAGCAGGTTACCACGCGCGAGTGCTTGTTGTACGGCGAACCGGTATCTCTCTAGGGCGGCTTCACGCGTCTCGCCGAGGATGCCAATACACTGTTCCGGAGTGAGACTAACCACGGCCGAGTAGTGAATAGCAAAGATGAGAGTCTCGGTATGCTTATCAAGAGAGTCAAGAGAAGCAATGGCGTCCCAGTAGACACGTGTCAAGGTAGGCATGTGGAAGATGCGGACTAGTGGCACAACATTCTCTCTGAATGCGGCGAAAAGAGTGACAGCCTGGGTCAATGACGGGTGGAAATGCTGGAGGGAGGAGGCAATGGCTCGATAGCCGAAGATGGCGGCATCCAGCCCCAGCTGAGAGGAAGGACAGCTGGTGGCAGTACTGGTGGTGGATGAAGAATGCGAGGGGTATGGTGATGGCGCCGGATCTTGGACAACATCCTCGCTCGCGGGCTCAAATAAGAGGTCACGGAGTTCCTCAACCTATCGCCGCGTTAATATGTAAGGCGCAACGACGGAGAGAAGACCTCCAAGAGTACCTCATTGGACAATGTGACCCAAAGCGCATTGTTCACGTAGTAGCTTTTGGACTCATCAACTTTAAGACGACTGAAGTCTAGATCAAATGGATGGGTCTCGCTCGCTTCTCGAGCGTGAGAGTTTTCTTGAGCCTGATGATTCTCCTGGGCTGTGTTTAGTTGTCAGCATCTGCTTGGCAAGAGCGTGAATGCTTGCTTCTTATAGAACCTACCAGCTATGCTAAATTGGTGGATGATACTCTCAAGGCGGGACAAACGTTCAGGGATCCGGGGGTCCACGCCCTGTCTTGGTCTCTTAGGCGCCCTGCCCCGACCGGGCGGGTAGACACAGGTATTTTCGGACCGCAGGCAGTTGGAGCATCGTGGGACCTGGCGGTCGCACTTGACTCTTCGCTGACGACACAGTTTGCAGGTCCGCACTTGTATGCGTGGTGGTGACGGACCTAGTGCAGATGAGGAGGTTTCAGGCATTGTGTTGCAGTTGGTAGCTGTCGGTGTAGAATAGTATCCATTAGGCAGAACGATAGCTCCTCGTTATCCTGATGTAGTCCAAGATAAATCTAAGTACGTAAGCTAGGGACTGTGAGCAGGATGTAGAACTGCACGTCAAGGAGAGCTGCAGAGGTGGGTGGGGGGTGCGGGCGGCCAAGCCTGATGTGGGCCATCATCTCGGATATCGGTCCATCTCTCAGAAGGTCATTCTCCGAGTAGCGGCGACTCTCTCGGGGTGGAAATTTCTCGATTATGATACTCTATAGAAACATGATAGGCTGAAATAGGTGAGGAAGCTATAGGTAGAGAAGCACAACGAGATTAGGACCCTTTGGTGTGTAAATTTGTATGTAGACACCATATATATCTATATAATGTATGCGATCTGGGTTTTACGAACGCCTTTAACAAATATTTTGCTGGGTCTCATTTAGTTTGCTACAAATATGTTCTACTGTAAATATATCTGAACTGGAAGCTGGCCCTGATCTGCTGGTGTTTTGTGGAGCTCGGAGCTCGGGACCTCGCATAGCTTATGCGAGGCGCCGGCCGGCGTTTCGGGCGGGGCCGGTCCGGTCCGTTCCGCGCCGAGTCACGAAGTTGGGAACCCCTCGACGGCAAACCGACTAGAAGGAATTTGAACCGTTCATCTCCGACAAGGAAAGAAAGGTCCTGTTGAGTAGGCTACTACCAAATAAGGGAGACAGAAGAAGAAGAAGAAGAAGAAGAAGAAGAAATCCATGGTCATTCAACGTAGCAAAAAACAAGCATTTTATAGGGCTACGTCTAACAACCAAGAACTAGTCGCACCCTTCACATGATTGTGAAATCTGGGCCAATTGGAGTCTTATTCCCAGATGCAAAAAGTTCCCATGTTCTGGAATACTCCAGCAGATTGTCCCAGTAGATATGGTCCATGAATCCACCTCTTTGCACCTCAAATACGTCTGCAATGATTTTTCCAAGAACTCAGGGTCTCTCCCAAAGCCGCAACGGTAAGTGCGTTTCTTCTGCATTAATCCGGAGTCCCCTTCATAAGCCAGAACCCATGTTGGGTTGTGACAAGCCCGTAGCTCTTCTTCCATCTGTATGAACCGCATAGCAGCGCATGAGGACCCATATGCAGTTCAGGCTGGATAGCAGCCTCGTCTCGCCACAGACGTCCCCGATGGAATTGTTCTTGGGAAATTTTAAATATGCAGGAAGGCTAAGATCGCGTTTACCAGCACCGCTGGGTGGACCGTACGAGTATCCCTCAGGTAAAGTGGCCTGGAAAGTTCTCATCAAATCGGACACATCAGGCTGCTCTGATACAGATAACAGCTTGGACGATCTTCCGATGAATACCTTGTCACTCATCCCATGTGATCTAGCACACCTGACCAGGTCGGTATCTGCTAGGGTAACTTCATCTGTGGCGCTCCCTGGTTTGCCTAGTCTTGGCCAAACGCATGAACGCTGGAGCCGTGGCGAAGGGGATGTCTTCATCCAGAATTTGATCTGGAATCCAGTCTACACCCCGGTAGACTTGCGGTAAAGATTTAGTTTTGAAAAAGCAATTGGCACTGGGATCTAGCAGTTCGTTCAAGTTCGTCGCACTTCAACTGAGCTGCTGTCTTTTTGTCCGATTTTGGAGATTTCCACCTATATACCGCCTTACTTTATAGCTACACTGCCATACTATACTACGCGCTAATGGAAGCGCGTACGCCTTATGACGAGCCAGGTCTTCAAGAAAAGAGTACTCCATTTAAAATACTAAAGTGGGGAGAGAAAGGAAGCAAGATCTGGCTGGGCTCATGAGAGAGCTTTATACCAACGGATCAATGCAGATAATGCAAACCACCGACCTTCTAGCTAAACAAAGGAAACAAACTAGCAAACGATCTCAAATGTGATCTGCCATGTGACAATGCATGCATAGATCCAGATCGTGACGCACCTCGCGTTTCAACCTGCTCTTAATTCATCCCTACTCCCTACTCCTTTTGTGACCTCCTTTTACTACTTACTCCTAGGGATGCCTACTTGCTCTGAGCTTATTCAAGCTCTTAGAGAGAGAGGATCCGTGATCTCTGGATAGTTACATGTAGTTATCTACGGATCAGTTATGTAGTTTGCTCACCGCTTCCACGTTACTACATATGTAGGTAATAATCGCTGCAATCACAATCTTTCAATCAATGTGATAGAACACAAAAGGAATTGACATGTCAATTGAAATTGACTAAATGTAGTTCGAACTGAATTATACAGAGCACAATCTAGCTCGATATAATTTGTATACGGAAACGGGCATAAATAACATACAACTATACTCAGCTAAGGGCGCTAGTTCATCTTGTTTTGATAGGAGTCAGGGATTGCATATTAGTTAGAACCCCTGAATTAGTGTTTGCGTTGAAAACCCCAAGACCATATTAATTAGTAAGACTTACTGGGATTTTCAAAACTGTGCAAATATACATCTCTCATTATCTCGCACAATTGAACAGTTTCGGGCGGATTCACAATTCAACAGGCAATTCGTAGCCCAGATTCAAAATTACTTGGGGAGCTACAGTCCTGCTGCGAGCTGCCGATGGTGCCCAAATGACCAAGCCAGGCGGGGACACCTTCCGCGGGGTATTCACGTGTGTCAACTTGCAGATCATCGTGTTCACATCAAGTTTAGATTGTCACCTAGACCCTCGTTGACAGTAGCACCACTCTAGGACTTGTGGAAATTGTTCAAATCGTTCCAAGGTTATATTCTTTGATTCCTTCCCTCATGGCCGCTGTTCAACCAAACATTGGCATTCCAACTGAGCATGAGGCTTCGTTCAAGGCACTCACTCTATCTGCTCAAGAGAAGGAGTTTTTGACTCGACCTGAGAGTCTGGAAAGCCGCGACCTATGCGACGGCCTATCTGATCCTCCCACCCTTCTGTGCGTTATTTATACGAAATTCAGTTTTGTTCATATTGGTGCTGACCCCACTAGACGATTTCTAGTCGCGCGTCAATTTGACCCCGATGGTGCTCTCAAGCAGTTCCAGGAAGCATGTGAATTCCGCGAAGAGAAGCACATCCTGAGGCTTTACGATCTAGTCCAAATTTCCGATTTCGAGCAAGCCCGTCAATTTGTGAGTGTGACTGGATTTCGAGGGTATCCGTACACACTGACGTGCCCGTCCAGTACCCCCACTGGTCTGGTCGTAGGGACAAAAAAGGGTTACCCATTTGCATGTTCGACCTGGATCATCTTGACAGAGATACCGTTGCACGCTGGGAAACGACGCGCAAACACAGTTGCTGGATATATTCCAAATCAGGACAGGGCGAGCCACCGAATCCCGACATGTTACAATTGGCCTCTGTATACCATGACAATCTCGTTCGGTTCATCCTTCCGCTTTGCTCAATGATGACGGACAGGCCGAATCCGTCAGTGCCTGTCACCAATTCGATCTACGTCGTGGATGCATCGAATTTGGGCTTAAAGCAGGCATGGGGGTTGCGGTTCTTTGCGCAAGAGATCAGTTGGCTGTTATCAACATGTTATCCAGAGACTATTGAACGTGTCTTTGTAGGTTGCTGATCTGTTTGGCCTGTTGGCATTGCACCCGTGGACGCCTACTAATGATGATTATAACAGGTATGCAATGCGCCCTCATATTATAGCACTGTCTGGAAGTTCCTGAAGGGCTGGGTCGACCCTCGAACTGCAGAAAAGATCGTAGTGCTCGAGGAGTCGGAGGTCCTTCCTACCCTCAGAGAGTGTATCGACGATGCCAATATTCCAACCAAGTTTGGTGGAAACTTTCATTTTACCCATGGAATGCTTCCAGACCTTGACGACAACATTCAGCAGCTTTTAAACTCAGATTCATCGAAGTCTCTGCCTCCTGGTCCCTTGAAATGGATCCAAGATTCAGATGGCAGACGAACTGCGTTGGCTGTTGGCAGCAAGGGCGGCTCTGAGAGAAGCGATAAGATCGCAACACTTGATCGAATTGGGCAGTAGCTCCACTAAATTGGTTGTTTTGGAGACCGATAGAATAGACTTGAATAGACGCTGCCTCAGACTATTCATGCTGCAGGCCATATGTACTGCCTGAGGCAGGAAGATCTGGGGCAGGAGCTGTGGAGATCAACAATAAAGGAGGAAATGATATGAATGACTGAACTTGCAAAGGAAAAAAAGGGAAAAAGGGAAATTTGAAAACCGGAAACTGAGTTTATCTTGTAAACTGGGTACGACTTGACTATGAGATCATGTAACCGTAGGTCCAAGCACCTCTTGGCAAATTAAATTGGTCCAATGGGGCCGGCACAATGATTTCGATACTTGATACTTCATTCCGCCTACTGCCTGGACATATTCTACGTCTCGTCTTGCCAATATATCTTTTGCAGAGCATATCGGTATACGATCATATACGATCAAATAAGATAAAATAAGAATAGCAAAGAATGTAGTCCCCACTAGACACGGGCGGAGTGGACGATCTCTATCTTAAAACGACCAGATGGACCCACGATCGCCCACCCTTTCCTCGACCATGATTTCCTATTCCGGTTAGGTAATGAATGTCCGTCCCGTCAGATAGTGAGCTTGAATCTGGCTCTTCTCTGTCTTGTGCTTCTCTCTCTCCTTCTGATTCTCCTCCTCGTCCTTGTTTTAATCAACGACCCTTTTGAATATGAATGAGTGAACCTCCTATACCTGTGCGTCCCTTGTTCGTTATATCTTAAACCCTGGTTATCACGACGAGGCTAGTACCCCACCAACGGGAAATCAGTCCTAGGAGGCTGTATGGTCCCACTGACCTGGCGGCTTTCGATTATCACAAACGAAATCATTATATAGCTACGAAGACTGTTGAGAACTTTCAGGGTGCCGCACATGATGACGACATTGAATTCGCGCGCAGGCCGAGTCGCGGTCCTAGCAGCCTTCTCTATCCTCGCCCTTATCTGGATCTTGCCCAGCCATGA